ACCGGCCTTAAGGCCTGCGCGATATGACCGACATTGAACAGAACGACGCATCCAAGCAGGAAGCGTAACCCTAAACCTCGGAGAATAAACCCCCAGGGATAGTAAAGTTCGGGGTTTTCGGGGAGATAATAAAAGTTGCCCGCCAGAGCCAGCATAAAGAGATATCAAGAGGAAAAAGCCAAAGATATCTTGAGGATTGTCTCGGTTGAGACATCCTCAACGAATTGCTTGTTTCGCTTGAGACATCCTCGAAATATTTGTCTGTTTCGCTTGAGACATCTTCAAATTATTGCTTATTTCGCTTGAGACATCCTTGAGGGAGGAGGAGGAGAAAGAGCAAGAGGAGGAGAGGAGAAGGAGATAGCAAACATCCAAAGTTTAAAACTTATTATAATTAATGTGTAAGCGCTTGATGAAAAATAACATTTTCATCTGCTCGTGTAGAGGGTAGCTCACGTGCTTCGTTTTCCCAAGATAATCAACCCCAGCGATAAACAAGTTCAGGGCGCCAGGGGGAGGAGGAGGAGAAAGAGATAGAGAGACAGAGAGAGAAAGAGAGAGAGAGACAGAGAAAGAAAGAAAGAGAGACAGAAAGAACTACAAAGAGACAGAAGGACATCGGTTTCGCTTGATATATCCTTGAGGGAGGAGGAGGAGGAGGAGGAGGAGAAAGAGCAAGATGAGGAGAGGAGAAGGAGATAGCAAAAATCCAAAGTTTAAAACTTATTACATTTAATGTGTAAGCGCTTGATGACAATTAAAATTTTCATCTGCTCGTGTAGGGTAGCTCACGTGCCTCGTTTTCCCAGGATAAGCAACCCCAGCGATAAACAAGTTCAGGGCGCCAGAGGGAGGAGGAGGAGAAAGAGATAGAGAGACAGAGGGAGAGAGAGAGAGAGAGAGAGACAGAGAAAGAAAGAAAGAAAGAGAGACATAAATAACTACAAAGAAACATAAGGACATTGGTTTCGCTTGAGACATCCTGAAACAACGTGTTCGCTTCGCTTGATGTTGCTATCTCAACATAAGAAAGAAGTAACCTCGATGGCGAACTTTTCCCGTGATAATGAAGTTCGGCCTCCGCGCCCCCGCGCCCCCGACCAAACTCTTGTTGGTCGACGATAGAAAACTCTATCTACTTAAGGGGGGGTACATTATTATCGTGGGCATGGGGTTATTCTGTCATATGTCTTCTACTCTTCAGGCCCTCGCGGAGCACTCTTGAGCGCACCTGGGAGCGCCCTGCGAGCCTCTCCATTGCTCGAAGACGCGCCACAGGGGCCCCCGACATCAGCAGGAACTGGATAGCACAGCGAGTCCAATCCGGGAGCGGCTCCGGCTCAACGTCTGGCGACGCGCCTGGGGGGGAAATGCGACGGGGCGGGCCTCTTCGGAAGGCTCGGACGTCCCCCCGGACTTCTGACAAGCTCTCCGAGCCTCCCCCGAAGTCGGCGACGCCCCGCCGCCTGCTGAGAAGGCCTTCGCCTTCTCGTTTCCCCCCCTCGCTCGCCGCCGACATTTCTGCTGAGCTCCTTCCTTCCTGGAGCCCTCTTCGGGGCTTCCTGTGGGCCTGCCTGGGCCTCGCGGGGCCCTCGCGGACCCTGCTGGACGTCTCTCGGGCCGTCCTTGGGGCGCCCTGAGGGCCAGGCTGGGCGTCAAGGGCCGCCCTGGAGCCCGCGGTGGGCTCTCGCGGGCAGCTCCTGCGGCCATCCTGGGGCTGTCTTGGGCGGCGCCTGGGGCTCGCCGGGGCCGCCTGGAGGCTCCCTTGGGCAGTCCTGGGGCACTCCTCGGGCCGCCTCGGTGGCCCCCTTCGCGGCTTCGGGGCGCTCCTGGAGGGCCCTGGAGCTGTCTGGGGTTACGTCGGGCCCGTCCCCCTACAGGGGGATTTTGGACGAAACAGTAAAAAGTAGTCAAGAAATGCCCCCCAATGGTCAAAGAATACTTTAAAAAATCGTACCCTGATAATTTTTTGACTATTTTTGAATATTCCTCCTGTAGAGGGACAGGCCCGACTTCAGTCTAGGGCTGTTCTGGGCCCGGTGTGGGGAGCACTTGAAAACCGCTCAATGGCGTAAAACCTGTAGCTTCGATCTCGTCGGGCCGCCCTCGGCATTCTCTTGGGCCGTCCTTGGGAGCCTCCTGGTTTGTTTTTGGGGCCCCTGGGAGCAGCCACGACCGTCTGCAGAGGGAGGGCCCCAGAACCGCCGGGAGCCGCCCCAAGCCTTCCGTCGGGCGTGTCCCCCAACAGAGGGATTTTGGGCGAAAGATAAAACAAACTCGAAAAAGTACCCCCCCAAATATTCAAAGATAGTAAAAAATCATCCCCCGACTATAATTTACTATTTTCGGATATTCCTCCTGTAGAAGGACAAGCCCGACTTAACCCAAGCCGAGTTGCGCAGGTGCAATCTCGCAGGCGATGTTCCCGGTGTTGCACAGTGCAGGTGACGTTCGGCTCCAGCTTCGCCTCGCTCATCTCGCCGATAATGCACACGGCCAGCTGCCACTGCCCGCCTTTCTCGCACGCGCTGATCCCAGCGTTGTAGCCGACGGGTGCTGAACAGTGGCCTGCCGGCCGCGAAGCGAGGCCGAGACGGCTTGGGGTCCGTCCTGAAGCCAATCTAACCCGTGCGCCTCGCCACTCCCTCTGGGGAGGGGTTCCCCTCCCTGGAGGGGCTCCCCTCCCTGGCGCGCGGAGCGCGCCAGGGGTGGCGCCGGATGCACCGCCAGGTGTGCCCGGCGCAGATCCAAGAGCTCCGAGCGGAGCTCAAGACGTTTGTGTATGCCGGTGTTTCTTCTCCGATCCTCTGGGGCGGGCCGAGACGGAGCGATCCACGGCGGCCTCTGAGCGTCCGATTCTCGGCGGCGCGATCTGAGCGTAAGCAACCGCCTGCGGGCGATCCCGTCAAAGCAAGCGTGTCTCACTGCACCGGCCTTGCAGACGTGCTGCAGCGGATTTCTGCGTGGATTTCTGCGTGGATTTTTGCCCGAAGCGGCGAGCGAAAAACGGCATGTATTTCTCGTGCTTTCTGTTCGGTCTTCATTCCTGGCAAAAAAAAGTCCGCACGAAATTCACCTCGAAATCCGGAACGTAATTCTCCAGGACACTCTTGGCCCACCCTGTCGTTTTCTGGACGAAATCCGCTCTGCAATGTTGACGCCATGACATGTCTGATCACAGCAGACACGTGCGACAAGAAATCTTGCTGTAAAAAGTCTAGAGGCACGGTGGTCGTTTTCGAACTTGGAGCTGGTTGAGGCGCCCCATGACTTCTGAAGCCCCTCCGGGCCATCTGGGTATGAGAAAACTCCGTGGGGCACCTGCTGACAGGCCGGTGTCTTGCTTGAGGTGCCTATTGTTAGGTCGGGCATGTCCTCCTACAGGCGGATGCTGGAAGAAGAATGACAATAGTCAAGACAGGTTCACACATAGACAGGCATAGTAGAAGCATCGTCCCCAGACTATTGTTTGACTGTTTCTGAATACGCCTCCTGTGGAGAGACATGCCCGACTTAAACCTATTGCGTGATGACGTCTCGCTCCAACCGCTCCGCCCACATCCCACTGAGCAGCAGCACGGCCCGCTGCCACTGCCCGCCTTTCTCGCACGCGCTGATCCCGGCGCTGTAGCTGACTGGAGCCAGCCCGCGGGACAACGCCCACGAAAAAACGAGACGGACTGGCACGTGATTGTGGGCATGCTGCCGAGAGGCTGAAATGGTCACGTGGGGCTCGACCTTGGCATTCCGGGCATGCTGTTGCGTGCTTCTACTTGCTGCCGGTATTGCGTGCTGCTGATGACTGCTGCTGCTGCGTGCTGCGTGCTGCTGCTGCTGCTGCTGCTTGCGGTTGCAGGGTGCTGATGATGGCCAAGCCCGACTTCCGCGCGCTGCTGCCCGCAGACTGCTTCGCTATGCGTGTTGCTTCCGTTCGCTGCTGCTGCTGCTCGATGCTGCAGGGTGCTGCTTCTCGCTACCTCACTTTGCTGGCGCCACCTGCTGCCAGCAGAGGAGATCGAGGAGGGGTGGGGGAAAAGAGCGGAGCGACCGGCGACGAGCGAGGAGCGACAGCCGAGAGCAGAGAGAGGGGCGAGGGGGGGAGGAGGGAGAGCCGAGACGGGAGGACGCGGGAGGGGATAGGCACCTCTTGGGGGGTCTCTCGGAGGCTCGTGAGGGGAGGGCTCACGGGCCTTGGGGCCATCGTGGCGCGCTCCTGGGCGTCCTGGGCCGCCCTGGGCCCGAAGTGGGGCCAGCTTGGCGGCCTCTTGGCCGCCTTGCAGCCCTGTTCGGCAGTCTCGGGCCGTCTTGGGGCGATCCTGGGGAGCAGCCGGGACACCGGTGCGCATCTGGGACCCTCTCTCGTGAGCGACGTCGGGGTGCCATCCTGGGCCGCCCTGGGGCGCTCTTGGGCTTCCCTGGGCCTCTCTGGGGCCGTCGCCGAGCCCTCCTGGGCGCTCCAGCGCCTCTCCATGGAACACCGTGGAACTCTTTTGGGGCCCTGTTGGGCCTCTTGTGCGTCCCAGGGGCGCCCTGGATCGAAAGCTGGGCGAGGGCTGCTGAAACCGTGGCTGCTAAAACGGCCCTCCCGGAAGGAAAAAAACAACTTCCCGGAAGGAGGCGCGGCACGCGAAACAGTCAACGGGCTTCTTCCCGGAAGGACGAACAACAACTTCTGGGAGGTCGATTTTAGCAGCCACGGATTTAGCAGCCCTTGCCCGGCTTCCGACAAGAGCTCGCCAGGGCCTGCGGGATCGGTACTGGTCCACCTGATTGTTGCACTTTCTGGCGCGCGGCGCTGGCATTGCAGGAGGGCTGGCGTTCGGCTCTAGGGTCGCCTCCCGCAGCTCGCCGAGGAGCGCCACGGCCCACTGCCACTGCTCGCCTTTCGCACACGCGCTCGCCCCGGCACTGTAGCTGATGACCGTGGGCTCCACCTCGGCCTGCCGCATCTCGCCGAGCAGAGCAACAGCCCACTGCCACTGCCCGCCTTTCTCGCACGCGCTGATCCCAGCGTTGTAGCTGACTAGGGCGAACCCGTGGACGTCGTCCACGTCATCTTGGGCCAGTCTTGGCTCGAAAAGGCCGTCTTGGGCCTGTCTTCGCTCGAAATGGCGAGCGAGAAGGTGGGAATCTTCCAGAAACCACAGAAGAATCAACGATTTCGTTTGCCGTGGCTCACCTGGAGCGTCTTCGAGCGGTCTTGGGCCGTCTCGGAGGCCTTCTTGGACCGCTTCCTTCTCTTCGTCCGCCTTCCGCTCTACCTCCGCCTAGACAGCCTTCGGAGCGTCACAGACGGCTATGGTGGGTCTGCGGTGTATGTCTCGCCGCTTGTCAATTTTGAAAGCACCTGGGGCCTTGAAAAAAGTCGCCCAGAGGGCTCTGGTGACTTTTTTCCGGTTGCCTCTTCGAAGCCTGATGGCGGGCGCTGCCGTCTCCTTGGGAACGGTTTGTGGGCCTCTCGGGGTTTCTTTTCGAGCTCCTGGGGGCCTGTTGGGGCCTCGTTGGCTGTCTTGCGGCCTCCTAGGGGCCTCTTGGGGCCCTCTCGGGCCGTCTTGCGGCCTCCTGGGGGCCTTTTCTCTTGAAATTTTTGGGGCGCCACTGGGGCCGTTCCCGGGCTGTCCCCCCGAGCCTCTTCCGGGGGACAGCCCAGGAAATCTGTTTTGCTTGCGTGCTCTGCGTGCGTGCTCCTGTGTGAGAGGTCGGAAAGGGTATCCCGACGTCACCGCTCGCTCTTGGGAGCTGTGCCTGGGAGAGCTCTCTACGAGCCTTGGTGAGAAGAGCTTTGTACTTCACCGATCGCTCTTTTAGCGGGCGTCTCTGGGCCTGCTTGGTGGTCCTTGCGTGGATCTTTTGCGGGCCATTCTGACGCTCTTTTGGGCTGCTCCGGGAGCGTTTTGGGACGTTGTGGGACCTTTTTGGGCCGTCACGGGGCGTCCGGTGGCCTTGGACCGTCTTGGAGCTCTCTTGAGGCTGCCTGAGGCCGTCTTGGGAGCCTCTTGGGGCCCCCTCGGAGCTCTCTTGGGGCCGTCTTGGGGTTCTGTGAGGCCGTTTCAGGGCTCTCTGGCGTCGTCTTGGGGCCGTCTTGGAGCCCTCCTAGGGGCCGCTGGCGTCTTCTTGGGACGATTTGGGAGGCCTCTTGGCGTGTACTGGGCCGCTGAGGAGCACACAAGGCGGGCATGCTGAAAATATACGCTTTCCCATGGGAATTTGACGATTTCTGCCTCGTTGGCGTGCGCTCGGGGCCCTCCTGGGCCGTCTTTGCGGCCTCTTGGATTGTCGTGAAGGAAGGCTTCGGGCCCTCGTGGGCCGTCTCGGGACCCACTGAGGCAGTCTTGGAGCGCTATTGGACGCTCTGGGAACCCCTCTGGAGCGCCTCTAGGACCGGCCTGAGCGATTCGGCCCTGTGGTGGCACACGAGGCGATTTTGTGCACACGAGGCCCTGTGAACCCTTCTCGCACGCAGATTCACTGACCATGTTAGGAGAGACTAGGGCTGACCCGTGGCCTACCGACCACGAAATCTGTCCGAGATGGCACGTTGGACCAGGGCAGAGAATCCAAGGCACCTGGGGTTTCTGGGGAAGGGGGCCCGAGACTCCAACCTGCAGAAGTATGGATACAAATCTCGCCCGTACCACGAACCTCGTCGGGGCACTCTTTGGGGCCCTCTTCGGCCTTTTTGGCCGTCTGCAGGCCAGGTGGGCCGTCTGAGGCCCCCTCAAGGCCGGAGGTGCTGCCCGCCACTTTCGCACACGCTGCACCCGGTATTACAGAGGAGATGACGTCGCGCTCCAACATCGCCTCCTGCATCTCGCTGAACAGCGACAGGGCCTGACGGCACTGCTTGCCCTTCTCGCACGCACTGATTCCGATGTTGTAGCTGACCACATCTGGTTCCAATTTCACCTCCCACATCTCGCTGAGCAGCGTCAGCGCCCGTTGCCACTGCCTGCCTTTCTCACAGGCGCTGATCTCAGCGTTGTAGCTGATGGTGTCGCGCTCCATCTTAGTTTCAAACATGTCGCAAAGAAGCGACAAGCTCCGTTGCCACTGCCTGGCTTTTCCGCATGCGCTGGCAATCATTATGTAATTGACTCTGCTGACTGCCGCACATATTGCAGACGCCTCGCGGAATATCTGCAACGCTGCGGCCCACTGCTGTGATCTCCCGCAGTTCCGTATGCCCCCTTCGAAAGACGTAACACCTAGCCGAGATCCTGGTCGGACGCTCAACATGTACAATCATCATGGGCCACCACATGGATTGAGCCAATGATGTCCCGAACTGGAACTTGAGCCGAAATCGCTTGAGCCAATATGGCTCGAGGAAGGAAGAGGCGGAACGAAGGAGGAGAGCGACGAGCAGGACTAGGAGCAGAGCAAGCTGGAGACGGCTGCTTCGAAACCGACCTCGACCACATTCAGAGGCAAGCATCGGCAGCGGTGGCAGTCAAATCAAGAAGCCTGACCCAGAACACGCCGCCGAGATCGTTCTTGCGGGTCTCGGCGAAAACGAACAAGTACTCAAAGAAGAGGGTGCTCAGCGCGAAATTGACAAACCTCGGCAGCTGCAGACCACGAGGAGCACGCGTGTCAGTGGTGTCTGTGCTACCTGCGATTGTGGGGAATGCAACGGCTCGTCACGGCTGTGCTGGTGCAATGGGGCGGATCGTCGGATGACGTTCCAGGGATGGGAACAGGACGAGGATGGTGGCATGATGCGATTGGCTCAGGATGCCTTCCAACAACATCCAGAGTGTCGGGCGGCCCTCGTTTCTGGAGCCCGTGCGGAACCATGGAAACCGAGACCAAAATGTCATTCTCATGTCGGGGAGACGTACGATTCGGGTACGGGGGACTCGGGTTGGCCTGACGAGGCCATCATGAACATGACGAGGCCCAATCTGAAGTTTGACGCGAGCTCCCGCTGCAAACATCCCACGGAAACCAGAACGTCATACTCCAGGACGCGCTCGTCAAAAAACATGTCGGCGAACCCGAGTTCCGGCTTATTCGAGTCTTGCGTTTCCCCGATCATGCTGTCTGGCTCTCTTGAGACTCAAGCCCGTGTGTCAGAGAGCGGATGCCCTCCAGCAACATCCAAGGTGTCGAACGGCCCCCGCTTCTGGAGCCCGTGCGGACCCGTGGAGACCGGGACGGAAGCGCCGCTCTCATGCGCTGTCTGCGGACACGCACGGCGGACAAGAAACACACACACACAGTCTCTACGGGAGCAAGAACACACAGTGAGGAGGAGGAGGAGGAGAAGGAGGAGAAGGAGGAGGAGGAGGAGGAGGAGGATTTTCCCCAGCGTGTCTGTGTGCTTTTACCACAGCTCTCTCTCTCTTGAGAGAGAGAGGGAGAGAGAGGGAGAGAGAGAGAGAGACAGAGAGAGAAAGAGAGCCCCTGCGTCGGAGAGGCTGCGCCCCCCCCCCCCCCCCCCACGGCGCCCTGCCGCCGAGGGGGAAGTGCCTGTCGCTCGGCCAGGGGCGCCGCCCGGGCGCCCCGGATGCACCGCGCTCTCTCGCTCGGCCGCGGGCAGACACTCCTCCTCCTCCTCCTCCTCCGCCTCCTCCTCCTCCTCTTCCCCCTCTCCTCCTCCTCCTCTCCTCCTCCTCCTCCTCCTCTTCCCCCCTCCTCCTCCTCCTCCTCCTCCTCCTCCTCCTCCTCTTCCTCCTCCTCCTCTTCCCCCTCCTCCTCCTCCTCCTCCTCCTCCTCCTCCTCCACGTAAACAGCTACAGCGTGGGCCAGTCCACAAGAAGCCTTCCACAAGAAGCTCAACTCCGAGACCCCAGGACGGTTCACTCACTCATGTCTGGTGTGGTAGCGTCATGCTCTCCACAGCGAGGGCGTCGAACCCCAAGAGACCCAGGGCACCCTGGAGGCAAGCAGGGTGTTTCTTGGCATGGGTCTCCACTGCACGGCGCGAACGTCGGACTTGGGGATGTTCTCGCGGAAAAATCTCGGACTTGGGCGCGAACCAGTGTGGTGGGGGGGGGGGGCGAGAGAACTACGGGGTGAAGAAAGTGGCCCCCTTCGGGCCCTGAAGGCCCCCTGCCGGGCCCCTCGAGGGCCCATGCAAGAGGGCCCCTTGGTGACAGCCCTGCGCTGCCCCCCCCTCCCATAGATCGCCTCCCCACGACGGGCCCTCCGATCTTGGGCCGACGCTGGAACCTTCGCGGGCAGAGCCGCAGAGCCTCCGAACGGACATCAACTTTCGCATCCCCGCGCGGATCCCTTGGGTCGGCGGTGCACCCCTCCCTTCGCCCCTTCCGCCCAATGGAGCGGGGACCGACCGTCCCGGCATTCCTGTAGGCCTGCCACGACATGTTCCTAGAACCCCAGAATGCACTAGGAACCAAAGCATGTTCTCAGAACGAAAAACCGACATGCTCAAACGGAACAGTCTCGGCCAGAAATGTCCTCAAAACACTTCGTGCAGACCACATGAGGTTCCACGGAAATCCTTTGGTAGCCCTATAGGCGAGCCAGAACGCTTGGCCACTGCTAGACTCTCTGCCACTTCCCCCCCAGCGCGCGGAGCGCACCGCCGGCGGGGCGTCAGAGGGCGTGCAGGGAGGGTGGGGGCCCCACTCCGCCCCAAGGAGGCCGCGGAACAGCCGCCACGTCCATGTCTGCGCTACCGGAGGCCTCCCAGATGGGGTCGGAGGGTCGCGCCGCATCGCCAATCCATCGCCGCTGCATCGACGACGCATCGACGACGCGTCGCCGACGTCGGCGACGCACCCGCGACGTCGGCCTGGAGAACACCGGGCTCGACATCGAGCGGCATCGCCAATGCATCGGCGATGCGGCGCGACCCTCGGGCCCCGTCCACTCGGACCCCATCTGGGAGGCCTGGAGCTTGCTCCTCGAGGGGGTGCGGCGTGGTGCCGCCCCTGGCCAAGCGCGCAGAACAAGACAGAGCGAGCCACGAGCCACGGGGTAACAAAAAAATGGCCGCCTCCTTTGGGGGTGTTCTCGGCGTGTGGGGGATGGCTGCCCTCGCCCCAGTCCCTCCCCTGGGAGCCCGGTCCGGCGGGCTTTGGGGAGGGGTCCCACTCAAGTGGCCCGGCGGAATCATCTGGCCCTGACAAGCTCCGAAGCGCGTGCAGATCGCCCAAGAAAGCGTCATGAAGGTGGACAAGTGCTCCAGGACGGTCCAGGATACGTCTAAGAGGGCCCCACACAGCTTCAGACGCTCCAAGACAGCCCAGGAAGGCCCCGGCAGGACCTCCAAGAGGACGCCAAGAGGCAAAAGTCAGTGATGTTTCGACTGTTTCCCTGCATGTCTGACGCACTCGTCTGTTCGATCTTCTTCAAGGTGTCCAAGAAAAACCCAAGGGGCCCGCAAAGTACCCCCAAGATGACCCCTGAACGGCCCCAAGATGGCCCAAGAAGCCGTCGTGGGGGTCCCCAGGGGCTCTCCCCCACAAGAGACCTCCAAGACCTCCAACATGCCCCGAAGAGCGCCCCAACAGGCCCCTTAGAAGGCCACAGGCAACCCCAAGATGCCCCCATGAAAGGAGCCCCTAACCACCCACGACGGCCCCTTGACAGGACGGCTTTGGGTTCCTCAGGTGGGCGCGTGGCATCAGCGAGCGAGCTTCTACGACAACGTCCTCCCGCCAGAACGGACGCATCCAAGGCTCCCAAGGGGTCGGCGGTGCGACATAGGCGACTGAATCCTTATTGGAGTGGCTTCGATATTCCAAGGTTGGGGGGCACTTGAGCTTCTCTTGAAGCTTTGTTGGAATGCTCTTGGGATCCTGTCGAGACCCTGTTGGGGGCTTGTTGGAGCCTTTGGGGACGCCCTGGGAAAACTTCAGGTCGCCCTGTGGCAGAATCGGTCCTAGACGAAGGAATACTCTGCCGGAGCTCCGCGCGGACTTCTTGGATCCAAGCTGACACCCCCCCCTTCTTGGCGCGCGAAGCGCGCCCAGGAGTTCCAGCACAGATCCGAGAAATCCGCGCGGAGCTACGACCATTTGGTGAGTGCAGTGTCTTGCTCTTCGAGGTCGAATTATGTCGGGCATGTCTTCTTACAGGCGGATTTCGGAAGAACAATTGGAAATAGCCTGAATATCTACACAGATCTAAAAATAATAGAGAGATCGTTCCAAAACAATGTTCTAACTATTTTTGCAGATTCCCCCTATAGAGGGACATGCCCGACTGAAGGCAGAGCGGCGCAAGGCTTCGCGGGGGCCTCCTGGACCATTTCGGGTCGTCGGCGCTTACAAGCTGTCTCAATATCCATATCACTAACTGTCAAACCATCTACTGATTGTGGCTTCTTTCTGATGTAATTGGTTATCATCATCATCACCACCATCACCATCACCATCACCATCACCATCACCATCACCATCACCATCACCATCACCATCACCATCACCATCACCATCACCACCATCACCATCACCATCACCATCACCATCATCATCATCATCATCATCATCATCATCATCATCATCATCATCATCATCATCATCATCATCATCATCATCATCATCATCATCATCATAATCATCACCATCATCATGAACGCCATCATCATCAGTACCATCATCCGATGTCGCACGCGAGATCCCCCTATGACAACGTTCAAAAAAAGTGCCAGGGCGGTTGGCCCAGGGGGGGAAAAACGAGAGGGGGGCCTCCCCAGAAGTCTCGGAAGTCCTCCGGCCTCCTGGCAAAATTCCCAAGCCACAGGGCCCTTCTCGGAGGGCCGGAGGGCCTCTGAGATGCCCCGCTGCCTTCGGAGAGGGCCTTCTCCTCGTCACTCCCCTCACGTCGGGCCTGTCCCTCCACAGAGGGCATATTCAAAATTAGTGTATAAAATGGGGACGTTTTTTGAGTATTGGTTGACCATTTGTGGATTTCTTTGGAATATTTTTGATTTTTCGTCGAACATCCCCCTGTACGGGGACACGCCCGATTTAACACTCCCCCCCCCTCGCTGGCTAAGCTCTCTTCGCGAGTTCTCTCAGGAGCTCTTGGGGGCCTGGCGCTCCTGGCGCCCTGCCGGGCCAGCTCGGAACCGCCCTGGAGCTGCAGCGGCCCATCAAGCTCCGCAGCGGCGAGGCCGCCCCAAACACAGAACAGCCTCACGCTCTGCACTGGCCTTGGCCCATCGGGGGTACAATCGCAATCCACAGTAAGTGTAATGAGGGTCGTCGTCGTCCTCCTCCTCCTCCTCCTCCTCCTCCTCCTCCTCCTCATGCTCCCTCCAT